ATTAAAAAGAAATGGAGAGAATGCACATTATTTAAATATCCAGTAAGTTGTTAATAGATATAGATATTGAAATTTAAATAATGTGGACATCTCCAAAAAATATTAGCAAGTCAGTTAGGGACATCTTTTTTTAATTATTGTTTATCTTGGTAATAGATGTCCCTACCTAAGTCCATGATTCTTTCTCTTTCTTCCTTTCTTTACCAGCTTGCGAAAATCCAATATTCCTTTCTTTACATCAAACGACTGTAAAGTCTTTTCAATTATAAAATCAATGGTAAATATAGACCACTTAAATTATTATAAAATTAAAAATAATTTGTATAGATAGTTATTATATTTAATATAAATAAGAATAAAATTGAAAAAAAATATATAATTTATTACTCTTCAAACGTCTTATATTTTGAAATAAAGCAATCACTCTAAAATGACTTATATCTTGAAATAGATGGAATAGATTGTAAAATGATTCATAAGATAATTTTATAAATAACAAATTCATAAGAAATAACTAATATTTCCATAATAGTAATAATTAATTAAATCAAAATTCAAAATTAAGAAAAGATGATACAAAATATACATTCACTCGGTCTTAAATATAGTCGTTTAAAGTTTATGCACGAGGATTAAGAAAATATTAATTCCCCTAAATTATAATAAAATCAAAGGCTAAATACATAAATTCACATTTAAACTTTACAATTTTAATCTTGTGGTACCATGAATTTTGAGAAAGGCTTATCTTTTTTTAAAAAAACTCAATAATTCATTAATAATGAATATAAGTTGAGTACATGATAATATTCTTATAGAAATAAGAAATGCAATTATAAAAAATTGAAATCTTTTGTTTGGAGATATTACTGATCTTAGCGAATGATTTATTATGCACTTGAACTTGTAAATTTTGATTATATTACAAATATTTCGGCGTCAATATCAATAATTTTTAGAAATTTTGGTTTTTATATCTAAAATACCAACTTGTTATATAGTTACCATTACTTTTGGAACAATAATTTTCTTAAATTTCAACATTAAACAAGTGTTTAATTGGTCTAATTTTGCAAGTTGAAGTGTTCAATAAAATAAATTTAAAAATTGAAATATTTAATAGGTGTAGTTTTATAAGTTGAAGTGGTTAATTGGTCAAAATAAAAATTGAGAGTGTCACAATATTAAAGTTATAAAGTTCGGGGGTGAACTTATATATTCCACAGCAAATTAAAAGTAATTTTACAAATTATCATTTATCTCACATCAGCACTCATCTCTCACATCATTACACTTTGCAAGTTGAATTTGTACAAGGTTTTGTTTTCCTAGTATACCTCCAACGTAAACTTAACTCCTACTCATGTTTTTATGTAAGACCACAAATAGATGAGAAAGAAAATGTATATATTAATTTCAGATTGCATTATTCAAGAAGTGATTTTAGCGTGTCCAACATCATTAGTTAGAAGTGGGAATTTGCCTATTGTGATTGAAGTAGACTCTGAAATTGTTAAAGAAGCAGCAAATATAGGCGTAGTCTCTGAAATTTGGACAAAAATATCACTCTAAAATGATTTATAGTTTGGAACAGAGGGAGTACCTATCCAATATTAAACACCTTGTGATATTTGAATATTTAATCTTTCACATATATATTATTGTCATTTAGCCCCTTTCACTTACTAATAAATTACTATTTAGTCCATTATTTAACAGCAAAATTAGAATTTTTTGAAAATTGAAAGACTAAATAGTTTAACAGGACTAACCCTTAGAGACTTTATGTAATTTCTCCAAAGGATGACAAAATAATTTCAATTAAATCTCAAGGAATTTATTATTTATCCTTATTTAATTATCTTTATTTAATAAAAAAAAGTATTAAAACTTCTATTGACTAAATCTTTTTTTCTTTGTAATTTATTTTATTTTCAAACAAAAAAAATTGATGGACTATAATTTTACTTTAAATTAATTTTTTAATATAGATGATTTTATTATTGAGAATCAATAGATAAAACAATCTACAATAAAAGAAGGATGATAGAAACTCTACCAGGACCTACTACAGAACAAGTGGTCATAAATTGAATTCTAAATTGGACTATCTCTTTGTATGTCAATTGTTCTGCACTAATAATTTAAAAAAAAAAAAAAAAAAGTGGTCCAAACAACAAAATAAATAAATAAATAACACGTTGTAATGTCTCTCAAATATCAGTATAAAATTGAGGATGTTTATCATCTGGAAATCATTAACAAGTATAAATTAATTGGATGGTGATAGGGAGTGGTATTTGTAAATATATTCTTAAATTATTTTAAAATTGTCAAAAGCATATATATATAAATATTTATAAATTAATTCAGTTAACATGTTTTTATACGTAATATATTCTTATACACAAGTTGTACTATTTATTATGCTGTCTCAATTTAATTTGATTGAGCCAACTAGACCCAGATCATGCCTTCCTTCCATCCCTTTAGAATGATCTAATGTCATTAATTAGCATTGAATTAATATAATATAAAAAGTCTTATCTCAAAAAAAAGCTAGACCAGATCTATGCCTTGCCGTCCATCCCTTTAGAATGAGCTAATTCAATTAATATAGCATTGAATAACATAATAAAAGTGATCTCGCTATCTCAAAAAAAAAAAAAAAAAATACTATAATATAGTAATATATTAAATAAAAAGTCCAAGAGATCCGAAAAATAGGTATAGTGTAGACATGTGATCAGTAGTTATGTCTAATGATAATTTTCGAAAATATTTATATAATAAATGCTACATACACATGAAGAAATATATTAATTTAATAACAATTTATAAATACACATTTGGAAAGAATAAAAAAACATAATGAAACAAAATTATGACATAACTTGAATGGGAGCTTATAATAGGAAATGAGGGATTTAGAACCCTTGTTTGAGATAGTTAATATATAATATAAAAAGTCCAAGAGATCAAAGGCTAATATGATATTTAGACTATTTGATGGTAGTTAGTTAGTGGTCTAATGATATTTTCGAAAATATTATATAATAGAATGCTGATACAACATGAAAGAAAATGATAATTTAATAAAAATAAATACCATTTTGAAAGATAAAAAAACTAAAACAATTATGACAAATTTAATGGGAGCTTATAATTGAGAAATGAGGATTAGAACTTGTTTGGAGATAGTTAACTATTTTCAATTTTTTAAAATTTTTTAATTTCTTTAATAAATGTCTTATTTTATTTTATTTATTTAGGTGATATGATATCATTATTCCATTGTATAATTATTTTGATATTTTCATATTCTAAGATGATTAAGCGGAGCTAGCTTTATTTATGACTCATCTGGTTTAGTTGTTCATACCGATTGATAGCTTAGAATAGTTGCTTGTTAGTTGATAAATATTAGTATTTAGTAAAATTTTAATAGTGATTACTGATAAAATGTAAATTACCATTTAAGGCCATAATTATTTTTATATATTATGATATATAATTACACAATTTTTTTAATTTTTTAAGGTGAATATATTATTTTTTATTATATTATATAAATAAATAATCTAATTAAAATTTTAAAATAATATTTAATAAGAATTATTATTTTTAAATAAATATAAATAAAATGATCATTAAAAATATTTCTTTAAAAAATTATTAATAATTATTTTTTGGGGTCAATATAATCTAAATAAAATATAACTATAAATCAATTAACGGTTGATAAAAAAAAAAAATATAAAACGTAACTGTTGGCATCGTTGATTAAAAGGTTCATCAAACGTCCTTTTAACGGTTTTACTCCACCTTAATAAACAAGAAACCTATAAATTTTTTAATTCAATAAAACCAGAGAAGAAAGAAATTAATACCGTCAATAGAAGACGCTAAGCGTGTCAATTTGTTCAAAACCAAATTACAAGTCATCCATAATTCATCATCGATGTTAAAGTTTACAAGACTACGCCTCCAAAAGAAATCAACTAAATTTTTGTTAAAATGTTTCCATTTGAATTTGATAGTTGAAATTAAATGTTATTTTATCCTTGAAAAACATAGGTATCTTAGAATTTATTAGGCGCATGATTCGAAATAACGTTGTGATAATAACTTTTATGGTAGAGAGGATTTGAATATTCTCTACATTTTCTACGAGAAGTAGGAAAACCAATCAGATAACAGATAATTGACGGTAAAAAGAGATTTTGAAACTTGTAATTTGAGAGTTTTTATTGAGAAATGGAATAAGGTTTAATTTAGGAAGTAATACATAATTTGTATAAAAAGCAATTTTTTTATACAATTTATCTCCTGAACTTGCGAAGAAAAAATCAGTTTTTTTAAACAACAATTTTTCAGTTGCACTTTTTAAAATTGAAAAAACAAAATTGTGTCTTAATTTTGTCTATTTTTTAAAGATTTTTGTAATTTACATATATAGAATTCGACAGTTTGGATTTATGGAATGAGTAGAAAACAGTGGAGAGAGACGGTCGAAAGGTTTTTGGCTGTTGTTGATTACTAGAATCCAAAGGAAGGGCGGCGAAAAATAAAAGGATACATCATGAATTTTCATTAGCATTTCCATGTTGGATCCGTGTATCGGCTGATGTGGCACAATGTGGGGCCAAATTGGATGCCAGCAAAGCAATTGTACGACTCACTTCGCCCATTCAATTTTTCAATTGTCAATCAGCCAAAAACTCACTCAATTGCAAATTTTAAAAGTCCAAGCACTCGATTGTATTTTTCCGATCAAACAGCCAAATAAAAAAATAAAATAAAATTTATATACCAAATACAGCATTATCCCATAAAATAATAATTTTCCCAAATTAAAACGCATAAACCACAATTGTAGGAACAAAAGTTATGCTGAACAAGGCACAAAATTTAATGTCTAGCTCTAGTTAACTATACTTCCGAATGACCCAGTGCAGGTTATCTCCAAAATCACCTAAAAAACCAAAATTCAGTATCCATAAAATAAGCAGATCCTTTCAAACATAGTACTAAGAATAAGTTCCATAAGTTTTTGACCGCAAACTGACACTAGATAAAATTTCTCATACAATAACTATTAACATTAATGTTCTCAAGGGAGGAAAACCCTTCAATTTTGAAGAAAATTGAAACCAAATGAAAAAAAAGAAAAGGGAAAAAAAAAAACATCACAATCACTCTCCAGCTACAAACATCCTACTAAAGAAGACATGGTTGAACCATAAGAGATAGCGAGGAAAGTAACGACTTGAGTACCAAAGTGTCTAATATCACATCCGGAGGCGCCATTCCATTAAACCTCTCACTTCTGGCATTAACATACATGAATAGCAACAGATGGAAAGCTATTTTGATACATCAAGATCAGGATATACCCTCCTTCAATGATTCCATCTCAACACTTCTTCACATCAACCATAATTTAGTTCACATGACACCTTGACACGAAAAAAGCCAACTAAATGCAAAAAATAACTCGCCAGCAAAGCACTTGTAAAGCTTAGAAGCACTTCCTGTGGACAATGGATGGACCAGACTCATCATACTCACCCTTGGAAATCCACATCTGATACAAGATAAAGTGATCATGTCAGTCTTAATTCACAACCTATATAAGTAGAACTAAGAAGCGTGGGAGAAAAGAAAATTCACCTGCTGGAAAGTGCTAAGGGATGCAAGGATAGATCCTCCAATCCAGACGCTGTATTTTCTTTCGGGTGGTGCAACCACCTTAATCTTCATGCTGCTTGGAGCAAGGGCGGTGATCTCCTTGCTCATACGGTCAGCAATACCAGGGAACATAGTGGAACCACCACTGAGCACAATGTTACCATAAAGATCCTTCCTTATATCCACATCACACTTCATAATTGAGTTATAAGTAGTCTCGTGGATGCCTGCAGCTTCCATTCCGATGAGAGATGGCTGGAAAAGGACCTCTGGGCATCGGAATCTCTCAGCTCCAATCGTGATGACTTGGCCATCAGGAAGCTCATAGTTCTTTTCAACTGAGGAGCTGCTCTTGGCAGTCTCAAGTTCCTGCTCATAGTCAAGTGCAACATATGCAAGTTTCTCTTTCATGTCACGGACAATTTCCCGTTCAGCAGTGGTGGTGAACATGTACCCTCTCTCAGTGAGAATCTTCATCAAAGCATCAGTGAGATCACGACCGGCAAGGTCAAGACGGAGGATAGCATGTGGAAGAGCGTATCCTTCATAGATTGGCACAGTGTGGCTCACACCATCACCAGAATCCAGCACGATACCTGTCATAGGTAAATGATAATTCAGTAAAAAATCATTTATGGAACAATGGATCTAGAGTCCACATCATTAGAGTTAACTGATACGAACCAGTTGTACGACCACTGGCATACAAAGATAGAACGGCCTGGATGGCAACATACATTGCAGGCACATTAAAGGTCTCAAACATGATTTGAGTCATCTTTTCTCTGTTGGCTTTAGGGTTTAGTGGAGCCTCGGTGAGAAGCACTGGGTGTTCCTCAGGGGCAACACGAAGCTCATTGTAGAAAGTGTGATGCCAGATCTTTTCCATATCATCCCAGTTGCTGACGATACCATGCTCAATTGGGTATTTCAAGGTCAGAATACCTCTTTTAGATTGTGCTTCATCACCGACATAGGCATCCTTCTGACCCATCCCAACCATGACACCGGTGTGTCTAGGTCTTCCAACAATACTGGGAAATACTGCCCTGGGCGCATCATCACCAGCAAACCCAGCCTGCACAAATAACCTAGCTATTCAGAAAATGACACAACAAAAGCACATACTCTATTTCACTTCTAGGAATATAATTAACTGACCTTGACCATCCCAGTTCCATTATCACATACAAGGGGCTGGATATCCTCAGCATCAGCCATTTTTTAAAACCTGCATAATCATGGAGAGAAATGAGTACAAACATAAAATCAAAATGCTAACACACAAGAACGTTTGCAAACTCTTTTCATGCATTTCAAACCCGCACAATCCATGTTCCAAACCAGTCAATTTACAAATAGGATTTTAAATCCACATAAAGCTCCAATGGTTCAGAATCAAATGCATTATAAAAAATGTGCATGAAAATAGGGTTCCTTACTCTACAACCACAAGCAAGTTCCAAAATAATGTTATTATAACAATGCAGTAAGCCAACATCAACTCACAATTACCAAAAGAAAATCTTGTTTCAGTAAAAATTTTTATAATTTCAGATCCAGTATAGCTAAATCTCAAATTCAGATCAGTATAATAGCTTCTTTCATACAACTAGTCATCTACACTTATCATTTACAGTTCAAATATTAGATCAAATGACAAAAAAAAGGACGATTTCTACAAATCGGAAAGGAAAATCAAAACCAAATTGGATAAACAGATCAAATAATCTAAACACAGATCCAGATATGATAAAATCAGATCAGGCAACAAAATCAAACAATCATTAATTTAAACTTCAGCTTCAGATCTCAACAAATTTGATACCTACAAACTCACATGCTATACCTAACTCCAGATCTCACCTTCAACAACAACAAAAAAGCACAAAAAACCCAGATCGGCAACATGTAATCGAAAGACAAACCGATCAAGGCAACCAATTTCGCATCTAACTCGACGCAGTATAGAATCACGATCTACGCAAACTACAAGCAAAATAATTGAAATTAAAGAGATAACACAGATCGATGCTTACCTTTAAATTGCAGATAAAAGATCGGAAACAGATAGAAATGAACCAAGCTAATCTGCTTGGGCTTGGCTCTTTCGCTTCAGAAGAAGTTGAGAGAGTGATGGATGTGAAAATGGCGAATCAAAGAGGTTTGAGAAGAAGGGTGTGTATATATAGTCGTGGATTTTTGTAATGCAAATGAAATTTGGACCAAATTAAGAACGGACAAAGATACAATTTGGCCCAAAAGTTTTAAAATCGTTAAACATAGATCCAAAATCAAGTCTGGAACTAAATTAGGAATTTTTTTTTTAACAAATTCTTAAAATTAATTTTTTTTTTTTACTTTTGAATAATAGAAAAAATGTAAAATTGAATAGAAATAAATATAAAAAAAGTTTAAAAATATTTTTAATTTTAGAAGGGTAAAATGAATAATTCTTCGAAATTTCAACAGTAATTATTTTTCAGTAATGAAATATATATGTATATGGTTTTACAAAAGCAATTGTGTCACTTTATTCACTTTTAGTATTTTATTTTACACATACTTTACTTTATTTCATTTAATTATTTTTTTAAAATTTTCCTTACTTGAGTTATATTATTATAATATATATTTAAGAAGTACTTTTTTAAGAATAAGAATGTAGTTAAAATTATTAAAATAAATAAAAGTAATTTATAAGAAAGAAATGAAAGATTTTTATCAAGTTAAAAAAATATTTATCGAAAAGAAATTGAAACAATGTATAATTAAAAACAACGATATGTAATTTTTTTTTCTAAATAGTGATTTGAAAAGAAATGTTTTCTACTAAAAGAAGAAAAAAGAAATTTGCAGAGAATAAAAGAAAAATTATGTATAACTAGTCATGTATTTGTACAGTAGGTTAGTATGCCAAATAGTACTATTTTCACTAATTTGGTCTGTAAGTAGAAACATAAATGGTTGTAGATAAATCTAATCCCAGCAACAATATAGTTAATTTTGCTGGAGATGTTTTCACTATGGGTTTGATTTCAGAAGTCATGACAAGGCTTTTATCGTTGTTACGTACAAAGTGAAAGCATCCGATGCTGCAAGTCAATTAGGTGAATTATCTTGGTTTTGGAGGCTTGACATGATTATGCTGTTTGTTGTGGTTATTTGGAGTTTTATTTGTATGTCTAAGATTTAAGTTTCGGCCAATTTGATTAATTTATTTAATTTAGTCAATTCGGTTTGGTAAATATTTTTGGATTTATTATAAATACCTCATTTCATTTACAATCTCCTCACACAAAATTATCTTTACTCTCTCTACTCTATATTATTCTTCTCTACTCTATAATTTTTCTAATTTCCATTCACAAATTATTGTCAAAACTATTGCAAGATAATTTCTTCAAAGTCAAATCTCCAATTATTTGTCCAAATTATTGTGAATTACTTTATTCAAATTCCAATCTCTAATTATTGTCTCTAATTTTTTTATTAAATTTTTCAAATTACATATTATTTTCATATAATGGCAAGTAGAGAAAACTCAAGTTTCGCTAAAGGCAAGGAAAAGATCGGAGAAACACAATATTCATCTATCCCTACAAATGACATTTTCGATTTCACTCCGACCAATATAATCTTGAGGGATATCCAAATGAAAATTTGAAAATTTCAACTCAAGAATCTGAATTTAATGATGAGCAATTACAATAAGAGGAAGAGGAAGAGCAAATCAAAGATTGATGTGGTCAAAGCTATGTTGGCGGGGGGGTATATGGGATGAGAATTGCTTCAGAAGGTAAAGTTCCAGTTAGTTGTAAGGCCGAGGAGTTGATGGATGTGGATAGTTGTACTTGTATCTTCAGAGAATATTCGCCAATCTCCTAATTGAGTGGGGGGTGGTCTGCTAATTTGTTATGTAAAGGTTCGGTTTGCGCAATACGAGTTGGATCGGTGATGTTCGGGTAATAGTATTGGGCCAAGTGGGTTGGAGTAGGGGGCGGGGTGATCGATGGGAACATCACGGTTCGCTAAGCTAATGGAAGTCGGAGAGAGAGAAACACAATACTTCATCATATCCCTCAACATGACATTTTCGATTTCACCCCGACCAATTAATCATAGAGGGATATCCAAATTGAAAATTATCTGAAGAATTTCAAACTCAGGAATCTTGAATTAATGTGAGCAATTACATAGGAAGAGGGAGAGCGAAAGCAACGGTACACAACTTCTGTCGAACAAGAGCAAGACAAGTCTTCGAATATTCCCCATTCCATTCACACAATGAATTATCAAAGCACACAAAATCGCTGAAATTTGCAATATATATCGAAAATCTAAAATTCAACAATTGCGGTATAGATCATTCTTGCAAACACTTTGAGGCAAACATCTAACAATAATAAATATGAGTGTCTGCCAAACACACAATTTTCGCAGTGTTACGCGCATCTCCAACATTATCTTTACTTCAATAATATCTGAAAACAACAAAAAGAAGCATTAGAAATAAGCAATTCTATGGGAACATTTATCTCTTTATATTGGTTCGAAAAAGTAGGTTTAATCATATTGCTCAAAAATTTTTAAATCATTCATGCTAAAAGAGTGCTAAAACTATAGTAAAATAAAATAATTTTCTTTATAATAAAAAAGTGGAAAAATATAAAAACCGTTTACTTTACTGGACAATGAGATATTCTGGTATTATGTAATTGGGAGTTCATTGCAAATGCATAATTATATGCTATTAACTCATGTTCATAGCATTAATGATGATTGGAAATGTTAAAAACAGAAGATATTCCATTCGTGCTTTATGAAAACAATAAGCAAAAATTATAGAGGAATTTTCTCTTTACTGAATATAGTTGACAAAAAATTTTTTTTTTTCAATTTCATTTCGAAATGCTTCTGGTAAAACACTACAATCCAATACCTAAACTTAAAAATTGTGAACCAAATATATAGTGGAAAAATTTCATTAATGGTCTTTCCATGTTTTAAATTAGTGATATAAGATGTTTAAAATTACTTTAAATCTATATATTCTCTCAATTAAAATAACTATTTATACATAATTAATGGGGACATCCCCAAGTGATGAAAAGTTGAGTTAAATTTTGTAAGGAAAATAATAAAAGACCAAAACGTTTTCCAATGGATGTCCCAACTCGTTGAAATTCAACATATGAATTATTAAACAAATCTTTTTTGTATAAATAATTATTGTGCATTTTTGTATAAAGAATTATTGTGCATTTTTGTTACTAACAAAATTGAAGAAATTAATTTATATTCAGAAAATTGAGATATTTGTACAAAAATTTTAGATATTTTAAAATTTTTTAATAATATTACCTATAAATTTAGTGGGGTTTATTATCCCTCATTTATTTTTGTTTATATGCATTAATATATTAATATTGTTAGTGCACTCTAAGAATTTGAAAATGATTTTATATTACAAGATTGTGTTTTTTCAATAAAAAAATGGTTATCTTATTTTAAAAATGTATCACCCCTTTATCTTGTTGCTTGTGTATTTGATCCTAGATGTAAAATTGAAGTTTTATTTGAATATTTGACTCTTTATTATGAATTAAATCTTGTTATGAATTAAATCTTGATATAGAAGATAGTGTCGCATGAAGTTAGACAAAATATTATAGAATTATATAGTGAATTTGTTCAATTTTATAGTTCATCTTCTTCTAATTCTTCTCAATTCAATAATCAATCATTTCCAACTGAAAGGGTAAGTGTTGCTGTTGCCGAACGTATTTTACTACAAAGACAAAAAAACCCTAGGGAATCTGGTTCTTTTTCTGAATTTGATAATTATCTAACCACTTCTTTCGAGTTTGGTAATAATTATGCATATAATAAATTTTCAAATTTAGATTGGTGGAGTCATTACCCTTATACATTTTCAATACTTTCTCTAATTGCAAAACAAGTTTTAGCAGCTCCGGTCTCCACTGTTGCGCTTGAACAAGCTTTTAGTCAAGGAAGAAACATACTTGATGAAACACGATCTCGTATGGCACCCGATTCACTAGAAGCACAATCATGCGTGGATGGTTGGAGCAAGTCCGAAATAAGAGCAAAAGAAAATTTCAAAAAAAAAAAAAATGAAGATTTATATGATCTTTACAATGGGTCCTCAATGGGAACATCAACCGGTAGTGGAAATAGCGAATAAGGTAAAAGGGGTGAAATTAGTATAAGGTAAGTAAGAACTATGTAGGCTTTGATTCCTCTAAACCCTAAGAGGATATGTAGTCAACTTAATTAAAAAAATTAGGTTCAAGCCCTTTTTTTTAAAAAAAAAATTAAGTTCCAAATTTTTTAAACAAAAAATAAATTCAGTTGAAGGCTTTTTTTTTTTTTTTTAAAAAAATTTAATTCAAGCATTTTTTTAATTTTTTAAGTGTTTTTTTTTTAGAAATTATTTCACAAATTTTTGAATTTTGAATTTTGAAAACCGATCATAAAAAATTTAAAATTTAAAATTATGCGATTCGCCGAAAAACCGGTCAAAGAACCGGCTAGAACCGTTGGTTTTGGAACTGTTAAGGAATCGGATCCGGCGGTTTCGGAACAGTGGCCATGTCTAGCTATCAGTGGTTAGCTATTTATAAAGCGGTTTCGAATAAAAGTATTCTGTATAAATAACTATTTAATTAGCTGTTTAATATAAAAAGACATAAAATAGGTATGAAAGTAGAGAAAAAAGTAAATAACAAGTGATAGATATAGGTGTCATAACAAAATTAGAGAATGCTAAACGATAATGAAGATAACATTTCATGAAACACTGTTTCAAACTCTAAACGCTATGATAGATATTATATTACCGAACGCTAAAATTAATTAAGATAGTGTTTTGACAAAATCAAAACACTAAACACTATTTCAAATTCTGCTGCCGAACATGGACTAATTTATGTAACGTTTAACTTTTAGTTTTTTATGAAAACTACTAAAATTGCTAACAACTAAACGTTATTAAAACAATCAATAACTACCAAAACAACTAATTTTGTTAAATAAAACATTGGAAGTAAGCCAAGCAGTTAATGGTAAGCATGAAGATTTTATAGAGTGGGGTTGCTTATCAAAGATTCTAAACTTCTTTTAAGCAAATTAATGATGTTTTATTGGCTTGGGTTAGGAGACAACCCAAT